TTGGAATTTCCCTACCTTCTGAGCGTCGGGACATTTACTCGTGTGGACCCGTTAACATGCGTATTAGCGAACTAAAGGCATGCTGAGATATTCCCTTTACGCACTTTATATACATCCAAAAGCTCAAACTGCCCGTGCGCGCGCTCCTGTGTGGGTGTGTGCGCGTGTAGCTGCTCCTAAGGACCGCCGAAATGAACAGCTGATCAACCTTAAGCTTTCTTGCTGACGTGCAAAACTGTCGTTTAATGTCCTTTTCACTGTTTGCACTGGAGTTTTAGAGTTTTCCCCCCTCTGGATAAATTCCGCTGCAGATTGAGAGGTGAATTCCTCAACTGGAAAGTCGGGCTCGCCATTGCAGCTCAGTGTCTGACTGCGACTGAATAATACCTGATCTGTGTCAGTACGGGTATCGACGACAACATCGACTTCACCATGCAGCTCATTTGAACAGCAGACCGCAGTTGCGCCGTGTGCGAAATAAAGGTAAGATGATGCATTTTTAAAAACAGTTATACTGTTTCAGTGGGCGGGGTGTGATCATTTTGGGTGACAATGCGTCATTTTAGCATTTTCTTTTGTGTTGTTTTGTTTCTGACAATCAGTGACATTGCGAAGGGGCGCATGATTATTTAAATCACCTGGCATACGCTGTTTAAACGCTCGCTGGTTTATTTATTAACATGTGCTTTCTGTTCTGTTTTGGTGGCTAGGAAGCTTGTGTGTGCAAATGTTTACTCCCCCAAACATCAACATTGGCCCATTTTCTAAACAGACGAGAGATAAGATTTCTTATCGGTTTCCAGTCGTATTTAAGATTCATACGTACGCCAATGTGAGCAAATTAGTGATTTGCCCGTTGCGGTGAGTTAACGCCGGATAGTGTGTTGTGTAAATACATGTGTCCAGTATTCGATGGGAGTCCTGTCACGTCGTTTTGATGCTTGTCTCACATTGAGGCACCTCGCTCTGTTTTGAAATTATATTGTTATGCTACTGCTTTGACTCTAACCCTGGGCGATGAACGATAAAGAAACAACCGCTGTGGTGTTTATATTTCCATGGGGTTTGAATTAGAGATATCGCGCTTTTGAGTTGCTTTTATTTTTAGTTAAAGCTCTTCCATTCACTGTGTGCTCTATGCTCTGTCATTTGCCCTTGAATAAAACATTCAGATCCCTCAAAACAATTTTACTTTAGTTATAACAAAATACTGTTTACATTTCTTATATATATTCTAGGCTTGTGTTTTTCCATGGAAGAATACTAGAGGTTTTATTGGCGAAATGGTGTTTATAGCAATTGAGAGTAACTATATGTTGACTAAAATTGGTAATAGTTTTCAGACAGATGTCAGTATTACCGTGGTATTACTGTGAAATTGTAGTTAATTCATAAGAAGTATGATTCAAACCACGTAAGCTGACAGAATGTTTCTGTCAGTGTTTATTTTCTTATGGACAGTGTTTGGCAATGCCAAATTACTACCGTTTTGTTGTAGTAACGGTAACTGATATTTAGACGGACACTATGGTTACCTTGGCAAATTTTCGTAAGGGTGTCGAATAGGTCTTCTTGGTAGTGCAGGATAATGCTAACGTGCTTAGCGTCTGAGGACAGCACCAATGTCAAACGTCCCCTTGGCTGTTCATGTGGTGCAGTTGCTAATTTGGCAGGGAGCGTTTCGGCTCCCCTCACAGGGTCAGGGGCCCTCCTGTGAGAGCCAGACCTTTGAAAAGGGCTGTGTGTTCTCCAGGAGTGAAAAAGGGTCAGACAAAAAGAGGCCACTTAATGCTCAGATTACCATAAAGCTTAAGTCACATTGCCCCTCTCAGCTTGTTCTTATGAAGCCTAACCAGCATTACTGTGGCTTGGGATTTGGACCATGTGGCTTCATGTCTGGTCGTTTGTAGCTGTTGGTTATTGAAGTGGCATCATTGTTGCCAAGTCTGGTGTGTGATTCCCTTATGAAACTTGGTTACTGTATACTAACCGTGTCATTTTGAGCAAGACCATAGTAACCACAGATAAACCCATGGATTGCTTCTCATTTCAATGGTTAGATCTATGTTAGACTAATCTGGTTTCTGTAAAAACCAAAAACTCTTTGTTACAAAAATAGAATCAACGTACTGTCAAAATTGTAATAAACAACTTTCCTGTACAAATACCACATTATAGTGTTTTGCTAAAGTAAAAACATGGCAATTTCTTCAAACAAATAAACTCAAGGCAGCATTAGCTTGCAGGTGTTTATCTCTTTGCCTAAATTCTGCGAGCAGCTGTCATTTTCTTCTTCTTCATTGTGTGTACTTCATTTTCCAGTGTACACATTTTACATTTCCAAGTTTGTTGCTATTTTCTACACTTGGTGGTGATATGCCACTTTGCTCTGTTGGCACATGTATCAGTTTAGCATTTCTATTCAAATCTAAAATAGAGACTCCCATCTGAGCTTCTCACGGTCACTGGTATGCAACTAGTAATGCTTAAGGAATCACTCTGCAGTTTATAGCTGATTGATTATGTCCTATTAATTCCCACATTCCCTTCTGAGCCACCTTGTAACTATTTTTGAGCATTATTGAACCAGAGGTATTTTGTCTGTTATGCTAAGTACTTTTTGTTTTTTACTGTCTTTGACTGTCTTTGAGTCATCTTGGTGTCTTGTCAAGCTTTGACATTAATGCTTTAAATCAGCCTGGCTCATCAATAGTGCAAACCATTTTTGTTTGTTTGGACAGAAGACACTAGTCCCAAAGTTAGCTTTATGCTGACCTCTGAAGATTGTGACTGGATCTGTGTCCCACTGACCTTCATTGGACTTGCTCATCATGATAGATAGCCTAACACTGCTGTAAAGATCTGCCTTTGATACCTTTATAACATAAGCCTGTTGAATTCAGATTAAGTCTCTTGAGACTTTTACACATGAAAAGCAATAGAATTTTTTAAAATGTGTTTGGTGTGCTTTTTTCTCTGTTTATGCAGGTCTGATTTAACCTTCAGGATGTGTTTTTGGCATGAGTTTTACATTTTTCTTTGATTAGTTGAAAACTGCAAAAGGCCGCTCAGAGTCTTTCAAGGGCAAGTTTGCCTCTCTGAGACACACTGTAGCAGTTCTCTGAATTCATTAACCTTTTAGAAAGGCATGTTTTATTCGTAGATTGCCACTTTTTACCTGCTTGGTTGCATGTAAAATGGCAGCCCTCAGTTACTGTGAAGGTGTATAGTCCTTCCTGCCCATCAAGCCTTTCAGTATGTCTTAAAGAAATATGAAAATTCATTCATTTACTCACCCTCATGTCATTCTAAGCCCAAAAAGACGTTGGTTAATGTTTATAATAAATTCTGATATTTTAATAAAACTTGAGAGTTTTCTGTTGAGAGTGAAAACTTGAGAGTTTTCTGTTGAAAGTCCAGGTAACCAAAACCTAAAAGATCCAAATAGGCTAGGTCACAAAGATGTCACTTTTATGACCTTTTTGGATCTTCTATGTTATGGTTACCTGGACTTTCAATGGAGCGACTGAAACCTCTCAAGTTTTATTAAAATATCAGAATTTGTTATAAACATTAACCAACGTCTTTTTGGGCTTACGCTTTATTTAAAAAAAAAAATTGTATTTCAAAGATTAACCAAAGTCTTATGAGTTTTGAATGACATGAGTGCAAGTAAATTTAGGGCTGGGTATCGAGTTCGATACTTTTTAGGCACCGACCGAATTGCCTCGATACCATCGAGTATCGAAAAACGTCTCGTCGTTCGGTACCAAATTTCAATTTACATTCGTTTTAAACGCGGAGCCAGGCGCGAGTCGACACAGGTTGCGCGCGTGCGTCAAGCCTCGTCCATACTGCCAGATGCGCTCCTGAAGACTTGCGGTGCAGAGCCGGGTGCGAGTATAAACGAGCATTACCAGACAGTCTGCGTGAGTGCGGCAAGCATGAACGGCTCGTCCGTGACGCGGGATTCGCGCCGCGTGGGGCAGAGAGGAGCGAGTATGAGAAGCATTCACAGACACAGGCTGTGTGTGCGCTC